GTTCCCGTTGGCGAAGGCAGCCTTCGCTTCGGACGCCAACAAAGCGCTTCAGTTGCAGATGTTGGACATCCGGGTCCTCAACGACAACCTTCTCGACTAAATGACACCAATATTTATATTCGTGCACTCTTTGATCATTTATTGCTTTATTTAATCACTTTAACCGATGCTATAATTTGTGGTATTAATCCTTAATATATATAATCATTAATTAGTGGTGAATGTAGTGTTTTATTCGATTGAATATCAATCTTGTAATCAATTTCATTGTATTTCGATATCAATAAAATAATTTTCTTTCAAACTATTTCTATTTTGTGTTATAATTATATAATAAAGTGATGATTGCAATACTAAACTGCATATTACCGGTGTATTATCAGTACAGTACCAAAGTGCAAAGTACTATTAATATACAAACTACAGTATTAATAGTATAATTCAGTATAATTCATGAATCATTATCAAGGATATCATTACACATCACAAACAAAAGCATAAATTATATTATCCAAGGAATAAACTGCCCTGCACACTATTGACGCTATTTTTACTGTAATAAATTATATTTAAAGAAATTAGTAAATTTTATATTATAAATACACCATTTAGTTAATTCAATTAGTTAAGCTAGCTAATAAATCATATATTAAATCAAAATTTAAAAGAATAATATACTATGTATGTACAGTACAGGTACTGTATACATAACCAAAAAAAAGTTAAACCTTATTTCTATTATTAAGGTAATTACCGTATAATCAATTTTAGTTTGTTTTATTAATAAAAGTCAATAAATATTTCTATATTTCAAATTGAAAATCTCAAGATTACGCCCAAATTATGCTTAAATTCTAAAATAATTAAAATAGTTACGAACCCATCAAATAGTTATTTATAGTTAAAATAAAACTCTCTTAAAATGACCCTTTTTACACGATTCGTATGCATACTTAATCTCATGATAGTTAAATAACTGGATTTGGATGCTTTAGTAATAATAATGGATACTGTAATCTCAAAGTATTCAATACTTATTTGTTTCATATATTAACAAACAATATACACAACAGTAAACATAAATAATAAATTTTATTGAATTAGATTTAAAATATAATTGAATTGAATGTGAGGGCAATTGTCTAAGTGTTGTGCAGTGCTATACAGCACCGGCCAATTGAGCTGAAATGGAAGGGTTGTTGACCTTCTCTCCCAAAGAATTGAGGATCTCTTCGCGATAGTCATCGAAGTCACCATCAATTTCATCGATATTCTGGTTCTCAATAACCCAAAGCTGACAATCAGTCTCCCGTATGAGTCTCTCGTCGTGAGTGACGACAAGGACTCCGCCTTCAAATTCGTTGATAGCTTTGGCCAACGCGTCGATGGATTCGAGGTCTAAGTTGTTGGTGGGCTCGTCTAATATGAGAACGTGTGGACCCCTTAACGCCATTTCACACAAAGCGACGCGACTTTTCTGTCCACCACTCAACTGGGAGTTGGGTATTGTGTGGGCGTGTGATATGAGACCGAATGAACCCAACTGTTTGCGCGCCTCCTGATACGTCAGGTTAAACATCCGCATCAGGTATTGGGTGGGCGTCTCCTCAGTGGTCAAGTGCTCGCCCGAGTGCTGATCGAATTTGGCGACCCGTGCCCTGTGGTTCATCCGCATCTCACCCCTGTTTGGACGCAGTTCTCCGCTCAACAGCTTCAGGAAAGTCGACTTTCCCACGCCATTCGGACCCACGATTGCGATACGACTCGACATATCGATACCAAAGTCGATGCCTTTGAAGATAAGATGCTTAGCGTCGTAACCAAAGTCCACGTCATGCAGTCCTAAGACAGGCGGCTGCAGAGGAGGCGCGTCAACGAACTTGAATTTCACCACATATTCCTTCTGCCTCTTCAGGAGGTCTCCCACCTGAGTGTCCCCCTGTTTGCGACTTTGTTGCTCTTTCACCTGCTTTTCGGCCACTTTTCCCGACTTTCCGCTGGCTTTCAATTGTTTGATGTGTTTCTCCTGTTTCTCAAAGTCTTTCTTAAACTCTCTCTTCTTTTGTTCAAACATTTTCTTGAATTGAGTGTAATTTCCTCTGTAATAGAATAGCTTCTGTTGATCTAAATGTATAATATCTGTGCAAACGTTGTCCAGAAATGACTGGTCGTGTGAAACAACTATTAATGTCTTCTTCCAGTTCTGGAGGTAGTTGTCTAACCAAATGACGGCATTCAGGTCTAAATGATTGGTCGGTTCGTCCAGAAGTAGAACCGTTGGCTCCATGAAGAGGGCGCGCGCCAGAGAGACCCTCATTCTCCAGCCGCCGCTGAAGTGTTTGGTGGCCCTGTCCTGCATCTCACTCGTCGTGAACCCAAGACCTGCTAATATACGGCGAGCCCTCGACTCGGCACTATCGGCGCCCATTGCACTCAATTGTTGGTATATTTCGTTAATTCTGTCGCTATTCTGTTGCTCCTCTTTGGCCAACAATAGGTCCAATTCCTCCTGAAGTGCAACCCTCACGGTATCACTTCTAAGCACAACATTCACAGCACTCGTGTCGTCGGCCAACACTTCCTGTTCGCAAAGAAGTACTTCTAAATCTAATGGCAAATGAAGGGCTCTTTTGTCTGCAATATGTCTCATAAGAGTTGTCTTTCCGTAACCGTTGGGTCCAATCAGACCATAGCGTCGACCCATTGTAATGGAAAGGGAGGCGTTCACTAAGAGCTCCTTTCCGGCCGCACTTATCGTAAAACACTCCACTTTTATTGAATTGTCCACTATTTGTGTCGATTGGTTCATAGACGTCGAGACCGTGAAGTTCGAGTCCAGTTGTGGAATCAGTTCCGACTCTTCGGCTTCTCTTTGTTTCTGTAGTTTTATTTTCCTCTTCTCCTTATGCGTCAGTTTCTTCAGTTTGTGATCAATTACATCCATGTCTTCATTGCTTTCCTCTACTTCTTTGGCCGAACATTTCGTATCCATTTTCACCTCTTCTTCTTCTTCCTCCTCCTCTTCTCGAGTCTCCTCTACTTTTGTCTTTGTTTTACCCCTTCCTCTCACCTTTGCTTTCGTCTCACTTCTAGTCTTCTCTTTCACCTCTTCTTTAGTCTCTGTTTTAGCCTTTTCTTTGACCTCAAGTTTGGTCTCTGTTTTAGACTTGTCTTTGACCTCAGGTTTGGTCTCTGTTTTAGACTTGTCTTTGACCTCAAGTTTGGTCTCTGTTTTGGACTTGTCTTTGACCTCAGGTTTGGTCTCTGTTTTAGTTTTCTTTTGATTCTTGGATTTAGTCTTACTTTTAGTCTCTTCGACCACTTCTTCCTCTCCTTTCTCTTCCTCTACTACTTCTGGTATATCCTTAACTGTATTCATGTCTTGATTGAAGTTATCGTTGTATTGATTCTTCAATTCTTCGAGTTCTTCGTCGTCATACTCGAAGTCTTTCTTTTTGTTTTTCGTTTTATATTTTTTGGACATTTTTTAAGTTTATATAAGTTTTAAACGAAAATCACTACAAATACTGAACACAATAATAATGATTACAATTAATAACAATTAAAATGAATACTAAATCAAAGCAATCGACTCACAAACGACTCAATGCCTCAATGAATGACTCAATGAACACGTGTTACGCATAACGTAAATACTGTAAAGTTTGGACGCAATGCTTGAATTGTCCACAAAATGCGTGACAAATAATAGAGAGGTGTGTGTTGTGGGGGTATTGCAGACAATACTGTCATTACAACCAAATAACAGTAATAAACAAATAGTCGACAAAAAGTGAATATATTTGTCACTTGAGTCGTGAATCACTGGATAATGACCTCTACTTTTGATTATCTCGTGAAAGATGTGATTATAATTAAGTAAACATTTGTTTTGAAGACAATCCAAGAGGTGTCGAGTGAATCAAAATGAGTGACAATCCGTCCGAAGAAGTGTTGGATCCACACCACCAACCATATGATTGGTCAAACCTCATCACAGATGCCAGTGATTTGTCAGCTTTTGTGGACCAATTGGTAAGACTTGAGACCAAACTTTTGATTTGCATTCAACTGACCATTGATTTCTGACAAAGACTTTGAATGAGACAACTGTTGAGACAAAAGCGTCGGATTTGAGGTAAACTTGGATTCAGAGGATTCGTAGCAATTGATTTGAGTGACAAAGTGTTGTCTCTTAGGACTGGTTTAGTATATTATGAAGAGATGTCAGAACATCGATGTCTTTGGGACGACAACTATGAGGAGAATCCTAAACGCTTTACGCATACTTTGAATCGA